TAATCCTGGAAACAGGGCGTAATCTGCTGTATTAAGCCTGGACTGACAGAGGCCTTTTATATATTGTACATAAAAGTAAGAAATAAGTGTGTATTGTAAATCTATGTAAATACAGACAGTGGACATATTAAAACAGACTGACTGACAAATGACAGACCTGACCTCTCGTCAGAGAGGGCGCCCCACATAGACAAGACAATAACTTTCATTCAAAAGAAATATCTGGTCATGAGCCCCAACTGGGGTTTAACACCAAGACAGACAGATTGACTGACCGTCAGTTGTAACATGACCTTGACCTTGACCTTGTCGTGACAATATAATTACCAATAGCGGGAAAAAGATTATCAGAAAATCGACTACCGATGCTATCACGTAAACGCAATGAATGAGCGAGCGGAGTGGATGAAAGCAGCGCTGCAAACTATGGCGACATGATGTTCTATGTACACCGGCTTTTAATTGTTCCGTTCAGAGATTTTTCTCTGTACTACCATGACTAAAGGACTACTTAGGTTTAGCGATGTCAGAAAATCGTCTCAACTGTCTAGCTATCCTTGCTATTGAACTGAAAAAAATTCGGTGGAGTCCAACTGGGTCCACTCGGCACGGCGGCTACCGATTGCCCTATTGTAGCCTGCCCCGGGTGATTATGATGATGGAGAATTTGGTGGAATTAAGATTGGCAGGGGAAACCGAAGTGCTCGGAGAAAACCCGCCCAAGCGCCACTTTGTCCACCACAAGTCCCACTTGACCAGGCCCCGGGATCGAACCGGGGACGCCGCGGTGGGAAGCCAGTGACTAGCCTCTTCAGCTATGGCGCGACTGCTATTGAACCGAAACTCACAAGAGCTACTGACCACACAGATATCACCGACTCCTTTACTGTGCAGCAGTTTCGGCGAAAAAGACTTTTTTTACTGTTTTTTTAAATGTCGCCTATTGCAGCATATATGCGGCATCGCACGCTCTCTAATTCTGACTTCGAGTGAAGAACGTTCTACCGAAAATTGAATTACGTAGCATTGTACATGAAATGTAGCTGTAACTTTTGACATAAATACATGTACGGTCTTTGAAGCCAATGTTTGCTAAAATGTCTATACAACCTGTCAAGAGAAATACATTCAGGCCGTGTTTAGAGTCGTGATTATTGTTCCTACACACATACGTACTCTGATTAGCTTGGTGAAAACTGATACGGCACTTAGATAAGCACACAGCTTTGACTGCAGAATGAATGGGGCGTTGTTCGGAGCTAGGAAACAAATAAGGTGTACCCAAGGTAATCAAAGATGCCTAACTGAAACAGGAAGAGATTATTGCCCAGCACTCTGGGCCAATGACTGTTATGAAGTGGCGTGATAAAAGGAATGTTTTAATGATTTCTACTTATCACAACGCTGAAATGAGAAGTGACTCGAAGAGAGGCAAAGAAAAGCAGAAACCCCTGTGTGTAATTGATTATAATAAGTGGATTGGGGGCGTGGACTTGAAAGACCAGCTGTCGCAAACTTACCTACAGAAAGAAAACGTTTGCACAAATGGTACATGAAACTTTTCAGAAGACTTCTGAATGCGACAGTTGTGAATGCCATGATAATATATAGACACAACACAGGAACGAAAATGGATCACCTCACATTCAGAGTCAGTTTGGTGCACGCGGTTTTTGAACAGTTCGTTGATACGGAGCGGAAAGTGCGAAGTGGCCGGGAGGAACAAAATGTCATACCGAGGTTGCATGAAAGACATTTCATTCAAAGGGTTGCTCTTTCTGGGAAGAAATCAACGCCACGGAGGAGGTGTGTGGCATGCAGCAAATGTGGACGGAGGAGCGACTCGAGCGACTCGAGGTTTCACTGTCAGGAACGCCAGGAATGTGATGTCGGGCTCTGTGTGGACGGATGTTTTGAAGCGTATCACACACAACTTAATTTCTAAGGTAATTCTGCACGATTAAATAAAAATAGAGTATTTAATAGAAAAGTTCTGTTTTATACAGAGCACAGTGTTCGTTTCCGGCTTTAAATTCTGTATTTCTAAATTTTTACGCAGTTTTTAAAAAAATAATTGTGATCTTCAGACGAAAACATTGAAATATCGCCGTGCTGTTTATAAAATCTAAAAGTACTCTCTTTTCTGAATATGACGATAATTTTTCGCTTTGAAATCGCAATTTTCTTTGCTTTTACAGCGAATTTATAAAAGTAGTGCATTTCTGGTAAGAAAATTTAAATAGCCTCCGTCCACCCAGTAAGGTTTATTTTAAATGCCGTTCGTCGCCTAAGGGTTGCCTATTCATTGTTCTCTGTGTCATAAATATTGTGACATGATACGTGAACCCCGAAACAGCTGAGCCAGAGATAACCGTTACTAGGCAACGGCTCGGTCAAGCGATACGCACGCAACAATAGGGTAAGTATTGGAAACTGTATTTTCTATTCGCTCAGTCATTGTTACAAGCCGTTTCCTAGCAATGAACAGTGAATACATAGCAAACTAGGAAGGGCCGGAGTGTGTTGTAGTCATTTGTACAATGTGTTGATTAGTGAGTATGCTGTAAAAATGGCATTCTGTTTATTGTCTTACAAAGCATATAGAATCAACAAGAAATTAAAAAAATATGAACATGAAAAAGAGATCGCAATAAAGATAGCAAGTGGTCTTCCACCAGATTATACAGCATCAGACAAATATCATCACTTTTGGTCAAGGTAAGTGTATTATATTTTCTTTCATTCATAATATGTATTGATTTAATTTTCAGTGTGGGCAATGAAAGGAAGTGCAATTATATGATACTGCACTTGGAAACAGCTTTTAAGAAATGTCCATTAGCCAGAGTCAGAGTCACAGTCAGAGTTACATTACAATTGGCAGTTTACCCCCAATCAGTTCATCTTGGTGACAAGCCCCTTGAGACCCACAAGTATTATTTTTTTCGACTTTACACTTGCGATTATAGTCCTTACGTAACATCCTCTTTGATGAGAGGATGGGTCTGACATTTACAATTGCTTCTCGCCACACCAGCGCATTCATTTTTGATTCTAATTCCACAGGACTCATGACCTTATTTTACTGTCTCAGACTCAAGACTCCCCCAACCTGGAGGGCAAAGTCCCTGTATTTATATCCCCCAGGAGCAGGGTGGCCCAGTCATACCCCCAGGCACTGTGTTCAACTCGCAGGGCTACATTGGAGGTATTTGAACCCGCCTTCACAGAGGGTTGGTCCATAACAATAATCTGTAATAATATACAATGCACATCAGAAATTGTATTACATGCAAATTTTAGCCTTGCTCTTATAGTCTTAATAAACTTGGAGAAAACAATTGTATGAGGAGACACTCCCTCATTTTAAAGTGAAAGACTGTACAAACAACTGACAAGAAATTAGAAAGCAATCTAAGTTAACCTACACTGATGTAACAAGGTGAGCCATGTCTCACAGTCACAACAGATGATTCCTTCTGAACATCCTTTTCTGCTTACAATAGGTCTCTTCTCATTAAGTCCTTCACAACAGAACACAAGTATAGTACAATAAAAACATGGCTAATTAAATATAATAGACAACTTCCTTATTATGTTCAATGTTTTATTTTCTGTCACTGGTTACACATTCAACTGACATAATTTCTTGTAAAGTGAAGAATTTTATACCAACAGCAGTACAGAAACTATATTATAGTTATAAAATGGGGGAAAAAAAACATCATTTTATTTTAAATGTTAGATAAGAATACATAATACACTATCATTTATGTACGTGTGTGTGTGTGTGTGTGTGTGTGGGGTGTGCGTGCATGTTTAAAAGCTCAAAAGAGTAATAAAGTTTAAAATAATTTTAAGAAATTCTTTCACTTAAAATTACGAGTAATATGAAGGAAATTACAAGATAATGAAAACAATGAGGAATGAAACAGTGGATGTTAAATAGTTCCTATCAATATGCAGTACCTTGTAAAATGAAACCATTTTCTCTGACCTCTGGCGAGGTGTAATGGATGGCTGTAATTCAAACAAGGAATGCCACCAATCTGTTATCTTAGTGTTACTGCAATGGCTACATTACATATTGTCACATGTTACATGACTAGACATAGATTGATTATTTGATTTATTGAACTCTTGAAACTCATAACTACAATTGTCTTTGTGAACTGCACCTTGTATTGCTCCCCACAGATAATAATCAGGTGGTGTAAGACTGGGAGACCATGGTGACTTATTGTCCTTTCAAAACATTCTGCCCTTGAACACATAGTGCAGTAGTATTATGGATCCATGAGCTGTGTGTGTAGTAGCACCATTTTGTTGGAAGTAGCTGCAGGCAATTTTTTCCTCATTTAAACATCAGAAGAAAGGGTAAAGAATCACCTCACAGTAACATCCCACGTTGATATTGTAACCAGAGAATATGGGGCCAACTGTCCGATTTCATGACATGGCGCACCACACACCAAACTTTCTGGTCATGTAATGGTGTATCCTTGATCTTATGCAGATTACCCACTAACTACATGCGACTATTTTGGTTGTTGACTTAACTGAACAAATCAAACTACACTTCATTGGTAAAAGATGTTATATCCAGAATATCCCTTCCATTGACAGTAATTACATCTCTAAAATATTCAACATGCTTGATGTTGGCCCTTTCTCTCAGTTCATGGACTGGTATTATCTTTTAGGGATGCAGGTGCAAATGTTTCTTCAGAACTCTGTGTGCTGCTATATGAGATGCCCATCTGCTGTGCCAAATTATGAACATTACTAAAATGAGGTGGTTTTATCATCTGTGGTGTAGGTGCACAGTGGCTTTTGGCTCATCTTGTGTCAGCTTCAGAGTAGGGAATCTCTCCATAGAGTTTGTTTAAATAAACTTTAACAGCCCCATATCATCAAAAACTGTAGACACAATCATCCTCTCTTGTAGCATTAGGTGCTCTACAACAATCTTTGAAAGAGTCCTTCAGTTGTACCATGCTTGACAATTAAAAAAATCTGCTCTATGTACAGTTGTCTGAGTAATATAAGTAGTTAATAGTTTAAATTGGAGGAAATACATAATTTCTACTATTTACAGATGCCGTCGAACTCTATGCAGCTGTTTGGGGTGGATGTTTGCAATTCCACCAGATGGTCGTTTACGAAAATTTTGTGTCAAGGCACGTACGATTGGAACATTTGAAAACTATGCTGCAAAAACCTTCTTGGGATTTGCAGGTGTGTCAGTCAGTTGAATTCCATTACATTTGTTAAGTAATTATATATACGAAGGGGGACCCAAAAATAACTGGAAACGACCTGTTGCGCGCCCATGCTTTGTAGTTACGAGTTGTGCTGCTAGGTGGTGTTAGCTGGGGGTCTCCCGCGACTGTTAGTGAGCTGGCGTCTGTCTGAGTTAAGTGGTTTGTCTGTGGTGCTCTGTTGTGTGCGTTAACCCTTTGGCGATTAGTGAGATGGCCGACCAGAAGGAACAAAGAGTGTGCGTGACATTTTGCTTTCTGTTAGGGAAAACTGCACTTCACTCTTCAAGTCGCGGCAAACATTCACGCGGTTTTCTCTTTGGTCATCTCCGAGCAAGCGAGGAACAAATTTTGCAGACACCCGTCTCATGTGCAAACCTTCGGTTAAAATTCGCTGGACCGTGCTCCATGAGATGTTCGTTTCCTCAGAAAGTTGGTCAATGGTCTTTCGACGATCTTCATCAATTTCACGCACACTCTTTGTTCCTTCTGGTCGGCCATCTCACTAATCGCCAAAGGGTTGAAACAGGAACGCACACAACAGAGCACCACAGACAAACCACTTAACTCAGACTGACGCCAGCTCACTAACAGTCGCGGGAGACCCCCAGCTAACACCACCTAGCAGCACAACTCGTAACTACAAAGCATGCGCGCGCAACAGGTCGTTTCCGGTTATTTTTGGGTCCCCCCTCGTACATTATGGTTCAATAAAAACTGTTTTTAATACTTTATTCTATCCATAAATCATATTTACCCTGCAAACTTACATTTATGAGACATGTACAAAGTGTTAATCATCACATTGAACACACATTTCATGTCATTCCTCAATGTCATGTGCTGGTTCTGCATGTTTCTTCATATGGCTAAGAGAAATGTAGCTCCTATGGAAATACTGCAAAAGCCTCCCACAACATTTACAGTATTACTATTGCTGTTCTGTTGAAAATATTGAATTCTGAAAGACATGTTTCTGGCACAACAAAATTCCTTGTGTCCTGAAGAAAGGCATTCACTTTACCCCCAAATCCCTGAGCATATGGGATTGACAGTTCTTTGGAAATTTTTAAATGTCTTTCGAGTACTTTTTCCCCCCAGGAGAGTTCTTAATTGCAGCTCACCTTCTTCCACATTTATATTTTATTATTTATTCTCTGAACTGAATTTCATAAACTTCTGTAACAATTTAAACTTACTTACCTCTTGGAGCATGTTACAAATTAACAAAAATTATACATGCTAAAAGTTTTAGAAACATTCATAACACATTTGAGATACTTTCAGCACAGTGCTGGCTAGTGAATTGTGTGCTGGAAACAATACATTTATATTAATCATAAGAAATCGTAAGATCTAAATGTTTGTGACGGTTGTATTTTAGTACAAATATTACGTTTCTGGCCATTATCCATTGTCCTGTTTATATATAAAAAACACAACTTTTGGAGATTGGATTATGTCTTCCTCTTCAGGCAAAACCTTTTCAGTTGGGCACAATCAATAGAGGCAGTCCCTGTCTCCAGACTTTTTTCTTTTTCATCAAAAGATAGAGACTAGCTCTATCAATTGGGCACAACTGAGTAGGCTTTACCTGAAGAAAGAGATAGAATCGAGTCTCCAAAATATTATGTTTTTTTAAATATAAACAGGACAGTGTTTTAGATAAAAACAGGCTAATGAACACTGCCCAGAAATGTAACATTTGTAAGAAATCATCTTCAGAAAGAAGTTGAAATAACCAAAACAAAGAATACTCTCTCCTTGGATGTGATGCCATGTGGCCCAATGGACGTTTACCAACCTTTCAGAGGAACATGCTGTCTCCATCTTCAGGGCAGAAACAGTGTTATTCATACCCACTACCATGGGAACTTTATATCTCATGCATTCAAAATGTTTGTTTGGTGTACCTTGGCCCCTATTCAGTGAATACTGAGAACCATTTCCCTGGAGGCTAAGCAGCCAGTGCAAAAAACTTATCACTCTCTTCCACCTATTAGTGAGGGTATTAAGAATCTATGAGTCTTGAATTTTGTGCCCTCAAATGTACATTCTCTGGCAAAGAGATAAACTTCATTCACTTTTGTGACCAATGGAAAATGTTTGGTTCTATTTTATGCACACAGGCGGGATGTTCCTGACATATATTTTGCTAATGTTTCTTACAATTCAACTAAACTACCCTATAACTGGAGCCACTATGATTTGTTCAGCACTTGGAGTCTTTCTAACATTGGGATTGGCATTTTCAAAAAGAGTAAGGTAAGAAGATGTAGATTACTGTTACATCATAGAACATAATAAGGTACCCTGGAGAGGACATACAGTGTATGTTCAAAATGTGACCTCCTGAAGGGCTTACATAGTAAGTTTAAAAGACTGAAAACAAAATAGGTCACTCTTTGACATACCTGTCATCAGTAAATAGTAAGTGTTTTTCTGACCAAATATATGGTGTAAATTGCTGATAACCCCAACAGAACACATCTCATGAAGGATGTTGAAGTACAAAAATAATTATCATGCCTATACATAGGATTTCAATACCGCATGTCAATACCATTCACACTACTTCCGCATAATGTAAATCCCATTTAACATAACGTTCTCCCTTATTTATTGCTCACTTCTAACGATCAGAAGTCACTAATCACAACACTAAATTTCCTCATTTTAAGATTTTCTTCAGTCTAGTCATCAAATACATCACTCCCCAAAGAACAGATTGGACTAAATATAGTTAATATCAGCCGAGTATGAATACATGAATGTCTGTGTGTGTGCTTAATTGTGTCCATGTGTGTAGAAGATCTCTGTCAGTGTGTGTGTCCATCTGTGTGAGCAAGTAAGTGAAGCAAAGAGATATGCACTGAGAACAGAACATTTCAGAAATCAGACTTGCAACATACTATACGGCATAACAATTTTATAGCACAAAATAAATTTCTTGTCTTTCTTATGTGTAGCTTATTTTAGAATGCTTTCACTGTCACATGTCATATAGCATCAAATGACAGGATAACAGATGAATTGGAAAAGATTTGGAAGAAATTTATCATGGCCTGAGTGAGGTACTATCCTTACATTTTAGGAAATCTATGAAAAACCTTGGCCATGATAGCTAGTGTCCCAAATGATATTCAAACAAAAACACATTTTAAATGCAAGTCCAGAATACTACTGCTAGACCAGCCTGTTTACTATATTTCTTGTCATTCTTTGTTCAGGGTTATAACATTATTACTTCTACCACACCTCTTCTCGAAGAATGGTCGAAAAGCATTGGTGGCTTATGCATTTACCCTAGCACTGACTGGTCCTGCTGTGAACACTCTACGCAACACAAGGATATTGGCTGATTCTCTAGCATGTGCACAGGTATTTAGTGATTTACTGAATATGTCTGACATCAATGCCACTAGTTTTTAATCTGGGACAATACAAAGAGAACTAGGAATATATTTATAATAAACTTTAATTAATTTTAATGAACTTGTGGAATCGGAAGTTAGAACAATAATNTCGGGCCCTGATAAGGGCCGTTTGTTGCACTGGTAGAAACACCTGCCCATGGTGTAGTTGCTGGAGTTGCGGAAGCTGCGTTATGTGCCTGGTCGCAGAGAAGAGCTGATGCCTCTGATGACTGATCGCTCTGAACTGAATGTGATCACTGACCATTTCGAGCTTTGGGCTCTGCCTTTTATACCATGCTTGATGGGTGGAGCGAAACTTGCAGTTGCGATTGTGAGCACTGATTGGCTAGCACACGTGATGATTTAATGTGGGCTGGACAGCGAGTGCTGTATAAATACGAGTGCTGGCAGCAATGTGATTGGTTAGTGCATGTGATCATCTAGAGGTGGGTTGGACATCGAGTGCTGTATAAATATGAGCGTTGACAGCAATGTGCGGCATTGACCCAGGAGTGAGTGTTGTTTGTTAGACTGGCGAAACAGCATGTAAGTATGTGGGATGTTCCCACATAAGCAGTGCTTTTTCACATAAAAGGATATACTACTAGATTTTAAATTTAAGCAATACACTGAACAAGTTTTGAACAGAAAACATACATTATTAGAATTCTATAAAGTCATGCTGATTATGCTTAGTAAAGTGATCACATAATAGTGGGATCCTCTGTCACTTGGGGCAACAAATATAATTCAATTTAACATGAAAGGCATAGATGACATGGTGATAAAATACTTTGATGTTGGTATGAGCTTCCAAATTACTGACAGCAACCAAATTAAATGTTAATCATACATGTTATCCAGTTAAAGAACGGGTTAGGCTAACTAGTTATCCACTGTTTGAATCAAAGGGATAAACACTAATTACACTTCAAATAACAAACAAAGCTTTTTTCTTTCAGGAACAACTGAAAAAGATCGTTCATGATATCACTGAAGCTGTGAAGAAACCATTTATTGCTATAAAAGATGCATTTCATAAAGTGATGGTGACAATCAAACAAGTAGTGAAAACATTAAAAGAAGTCTGGCATTCTTTTGTAAGGATCTTTATCAGCCTATGTGAGTTTCAGTAAGGTGCATAAGTGCAGCATTCATTTTGTACCATAAAAAATCATCTGTTTGTAATCATAAAATACACAATTTAAGTAATTCCTTCATACAAGGATAATTCACTTTGATTAACTCTGATTCCTTCACAAATTTCCATTTTAGTTCCAATGAAACTTTCCGTATTAAAATCATGTAAAGTGATACACAACTGGGTCAAAAAAAATCCTCTCAAAAGACATTTGAAAGTCACCGATGATGTGTGACCAAGTTGCCCTGTTCAGACTGTGACAGAAGTAACTGTGCAGCAGGAGGAAGGGTTGATTCGAGCTGACAGGAGGATTTCTTTTTATTGCTAGTGGGGTGGGACTAAGTCCCTTGTACTGCGGCCACTTCTGACCTATTGTACCAGCCCCAGATGATATGTGAGGGCGATTGTGGAGCAATTGGTGGAATGAAGATTGGCAGGGGAAACCAAGTACTCAGAGAAAACCCGCCCCAGCGCCACTTTGTCCACCACAAATCCCACTTGACCAGACCCGGGATCGAACCCGGGCCACCGAGGTGGGAAGCCAGCGGCTAATCGCTTGAGCTATGGCGCGGCCCAGACAGGAGGATAACGGTATACAGTGTAGCAGTACAATAGGATGTTCCCATGGTTTAGCATACATCATAATGCATGACCGTTTGAAGTTTTTGAAAGATTGCGCACGATGGGTGGACAGAGAACTTAAGGTTTGAGAAAAAATTAACTGAATGGGTCTGTCCTTGCAACATCATCTATGGTATGCAGATGTTTTACAAGTTTTACGTTTTATATCCACTTGTGACCTATTTACTGACTCTCCCTCATATGTCTGTGAGTTTATATTGATCATTTGTCAAACAAAAGAGTTGCTTTACTTGTTTAGATATTCAGCAACTCCTTTAATTAAACAATCCTTGCAAATTCTGTTAAAATTTATTCCCACTACTTTATATCAGTTTTAATTCAGCAGGTTAGTACTATAAGCTGCAATTTCTGTTAAAATTTTTTCTCTCTATTTTCTGGCAGTTTTAATTCAATGGATTATTTCCATAAGCTATCTGCATAATGTTGTTCTTTTATTTCAAATTTTGAGCTGTTGAAAGGCTGAATTTTCAGATCAATCATTTTACTAGAACAGTGTAACAGTACAGTTCAGTCAGTCATATAACTCATTTAAGCCAGAGCTCCCATGTGGCATCAACAGCTGCCTTACCCAAATTTAATAATGGTGGTTCACAAGTACACAGAGTTTTTCTGAGAGAGGTACTCAATGAAATTAAGCACTTTTGTGTAAAGTTATGGCTATATTAAGTCAATTTGCATCTTGTTCTCTGTGAGTTGTTGAGAATGAACATGTTTGTTCCAGTGCAAGTTATGAAATCAGTATACCAGTGGCTTACTAGTGTTCTCAACCTTTGCAACAAAAAAGTTGGGACACCACACCAGAGGTGCATGAGAGTGATTGATAATTCAGTTGCAGACTGTCACGCCAAATTAGGTCCACTATTCAACTGGCTATGCTCAGTCACCTATGTTGGTTCCATTGTCTGCTATGCTGCCAAGATCTTTGACCTCATCTGCCCATTCATGGACTATATCAATAACAGCGTTGTTGGTGTTATGAAGAAAAGTAAGTTTATATATTTATTTGACATTTTGTAAAATCTTATATAAACCGAGCAAAATTATACATGTTCATGACTTCAGTAAACACCCACAACCCCTCTTCTTACACAATTTGTGTATGTAGTTAAATATTATAGTATTGTTGACCTTTATACAAATAATTTGACTTGTTCTATATCTGGAGGCTGTATTGCAAAATATGGATTTCTGGAACCAATAAAAATATGTATATGTATATGTATCTGAAGAGCACGTGCATAAGTTATATAAACTGGCCAACTATGCTTACAATAGAAAACAGATTCAAATTGGAAGCACAAAACATATTTATCAAAGAGAAGGAAACTCAAAAGGGTTTCAAATCTCTCACTATTAAATGTGCCTATCAATATACAAATACAGAAATTTTGACTTCTGAAGAGCTCCCAGTTGAAACAATGTCTCAATATCCAATAACCTCTTAATAAATATTATGATAACGAGAGTCATCCCAATGGCATATTCTTAAGTTTATGCTGTAAGAGCTGCAATATGTGGCACTGGGTGATCTGGGAAGCTCTGTCAACCAGAAATTAACTAATTGTGAATATGACAATTAAAAGAATGAAATACTGTCTTTTTATTTTTATTTTCATGTATACATCATGGTACATAGGTAGTGATGAAAAGAAAATAGATAGTGCATCAAGAAAACAGGACAGGATATCAAGTGACAAATCAAATGGTTAAGCCTGTTCATGAGGTTGTTAGATACACTAATACATACATTGGGTTTAACTTTTTAATGTCCAGAAAATTATGATATCTGGCAGCTCTTGGGTACCAGAGACATTAGATGTTGCAACTTTTACTGTATTACATAAATAATACCAAGATAATATACACAAAGAGTGGACAATTTCTTTGTCTGGTAGGGCATATTACCAACTTACATAATCTTTATGGGCCACACATCTTTACTGATATAAAAGCGTAAATGTTAATTTTTGTCTTCCATTTGTATGCAGAGGAGGTTAAGGGTACATGATGTAAGTTTAAAAAGGTATAAACTAAAATAAAAACAAAGGAGTCCAGAAGTGTTCTTTTCCTTAATATTCTTTTAAATTTATGATTACATAATTAAATTAAGTATACTTATAATGTAAATATACACAGAAAGGAAATAGTTTTTAATATAGGGTGTTTAGAAGCAATACAAATAAATTGCCATGGATCAATTTGGAAATGCTGTCACTGAGCAAGGTGGCTTAAGCTGATTATGGCTGACTTGTATTTGAGAAGGTGCTGGTTTGAATCCCTGTCAAGCCGCTGATCATGCTTACTGTGATCTGCCATGATTTTTTTCGGTCCCTCCAAACAAATACTGGAATAGTATCTCAGATTAGGATATGACCACTACCTACAATATCCTTTCCAATTCCTTATTTACTAATCAGCATTCTATTCAATGTTATGTAGCCTGAGCTACTGACAGTTTTCTTAAATAAAACGTAAATAAATAAGTAATATGTCACCAGCCTGTGTTAAGCCTGTGAGCTGGCTTCTGCCCATTCCTGGTGTACACACAGTATTTTAAGTACAGTTAGTTAGTTATTTAGAGAGGGTGGGTTTCCCCATGCACTGCGACCAGTTTGATCTATTGTGCTTCCCTCTATGATATTCTACCAGGCTCTATAACCTACCGATAAATGGTGCGTACCATCAGTCCCGCCGAGCAAGCGAGTTCGGCCACTTGCTTAGCGGTGTCTATAATGCTTCCCCCATCTATCAGAGGCCTTAGAGACTATTGTTGGGCGGGAAACGTCCTGGAACTTGGACAGTTAATCCACTGATGTTTCTGCCAAAAATACTGATGATATTGTGGCTGCATAAATAATATAGCATTTGTTCTTACTTTGCAATGATAATCGAAGGACTGTAGTAATAATCATGTATAATGTTTAGGTTGTTATGTTCTTTATGTGTACCAGCACAGAGGAGGAAAACTAGGGATCAATTTCCTCTCCCTGCATTTTTTAAAAAATAAATCAATGGCGAAGAAAGGAATGAGATGTATGAAACATTAATAATAAAAATTAATAGTTTATTTAACAAGTAAAAATAGACCTACCTGGAATAAATGTAAGTTCACAAGCATATTTTCTTGCTGCAACCCCCCCCCCCCAAGATTAAAATCCTGGTGACACCAATGATAATGATGAGAAATCAGGAATTTAAAATTTCTGTATGTTGAAGAATCTCAACAAGTAACTATGCAAAACATTAAACCTCTAGGATACATACCCTGAAAAGTAGTGGTTAGAGTCCATGATTTTAACTTACATGTGCAAATAAGTCAATTTATTACCTGCAATTTCCACCGAAAGTGTTATCAGTTAGAGGAGCCTAGAATTCAGAAATTTGAATTCATATACTGGTATTAAATGCACACCCTACCCAGCGTTATTTTTCTCTAAAGTATTCAGGAATCTTAATATACCAATAAGCACTTTTAATATCTTAAGCTGCAGAATCAGTTAAGCATTTTCACCTGGTATGAGTGCCACATCCATCCAGTTCTAACGATGCTAGTACATATGTTCTAATAATGTTAATATTTCCGTATTTTACAGAGTTGCTAACATTTGTAACACACATCCACAACATCTTCTATGTATCAGTGGATTTCAAGCATTCATTTCATTTTGAGACAACTCAATCAGTCTCAATGAAAGAGATATCTGCTGCAATCATTGCAGAGTTACGCGGCCGTACAGATAAGTTCGTGTCCTTGTTTGAGTATCTGGGCTTTGCATTCATCTTCTTCTTCTTCGTACTGTTTTTCAGGTAGGTTCAGAAGGACAAACATATTCTATCTTTCGTAAAAAAGGGCATGGGCCAGGATTGACTGACAAACTGAAAGTACATATCTTCATGAAAACTGGTCTTGAAGAGGCAGACTCAGACAGTGCTGAATTTTATATTTCTATTCGGCTCACAGTCCATTAAGAAGCAGATACACATGGTACATTCTAACTCTGAAAATAATTATGGACAGGAACAGCTTTTGAAAAGATAAAAATAAAATATTATTAACCAATTCTAGTAATACTAAAGGAGCTGGGATAGCGTAGCTGGTATAGTGACTGGCTATGGGCTGGACAACCAAGGGTTCAGAGTTTGAGTCCCAGTAGGGTCAAGAATTTTCACTCCTCTATGTCATCCACACCGGCTCTGGAGGTCACCCAGCCTCCTATCCAATGGGTACCGGGGGTTCTTTCCCCGGGGGGTAAAGTGACAGGGGCGTGAAGCTGACCACTCACCTCCAACTAGTGCTGAGGTCAAGAAAACGTTAGTCTATATATCCACTCCCCATATGCCTTCATGGCATAGTGCATAATTAGTTAAGCACAGGGACAGCTTTACCTTACCTTAGTAATACTAAACTCACATACATGAACCTAGATATAGACTGAAATCTAATACTGTTACTTCATTATAAAATGATTGTCCATTGTTTAACAATGCATTTATATGGAAAACAAGAAAATAATAAGGGGTTCTAAGCATAATTCATAAAGCCTAAGACAGATTTCATATTCTCATGGTAGCAAGTATCAAGGTTACGATTTTCTAGGATGTGACGCCACACAGTTTGGTAGATGGGTAGAAGTGTTTTGGAGGTACCTGCTGCAGAAGATGAACATTCGTGTGCATCAGGGAACCTGTGTGCTTAATGTATAAGAACTCTGGAATGGCCGATGTCTTGTGTGGAATTGTGGAAGACTGAAGTGTAGTTTGGTTCTGATATTAACATGTATTTCTCTTTCCAGAGTCATTCAGTACCACCTGAAATTTCTTACAAGTAATAGATTTGAAAACAGATTCATCACTAGATATTTTCGAGAAATAGATCTACAACGAGCCAAACATGACAAAGAAACAGTCTTGCCACTCACCAGAGTAGAGAGGAAAAATTACATCACGGTAATATTTAATAATATAGTAAACTAGTGTCCTGCTGTAGGTGTAGTTAGCAAAAAGAAAATCGAGTGTCAACCTTATTCATGGCTAATGAATGCCAGTTGTAAGTATAAAAGAGTTAATTCAATTAGGAGAATTCTTCCTAGCACTTGCATCAGAACCTCCTCATCTTCTAACCAAATATATGGGGAAAAAATATATAAAACTATAATTTTATGTGCTGTTTTATATGGAAGTGAAACTTGGTTTCACCAATGGAGAAGAGGGACTGAGGGTGTGTTGAGAACAACACCATGCAGAAAATAGGTACACCTAAGAGAGGGGAAGTAACAGGAATAGAATATATGATGTCAAAGTAGTTTCATAATGTGTATTTTTCACAAAATATGTATCATTACAGCAAAAGAAAAAAGATTATTAGATGTTCAGGACAGGAAGAACAATTTGGTTTTAGAACAAAATCTTCAACAGATGAGGCTATATAGAAGTTAGTGAATGAAATCTATAAGACCTTAAACAGCAAAAACTTAATAGGAGGCATTTTTTGTGACCTAGAAAGGGCCTTCGATTGTGTTAATCATGAGGTTCTGTTGTCAAAATTGGAGTTCTATGGGATAAAGGGTAAGGCTAAACTATGGCTTGAATCTTATTTCAGAAATAGATATCAAAGGGTTTTAATTACAAATATAAATCTTAATATTATATTTAAGCATCCTGTTGCACTTTATACGATATATGATATAACTCCGTCCTAAGTGCAAACTATATTTACAGGTCTTTCGTTTTGTTCTTCTTTATACACTACATGTTTCGGCCCCAAATGGCCATCATCAGGTGTATACACTCACGAACAAAACGAAAGACCTATAAATATAGTTTGCACTTAGGACGGAGTTATATCATATGTCATAAATTTTAATCTCCATGAATTTTCGACATGGGGCAAAATTAGACATGGTGTCCGGCAAGGTTCGATTCTGGGTCCATTGTTACTTCTCATTTATATAAACGATTTACCCAAAACTATAAATGATAAAACTGTACCTATATTACTTGCAGATGACACTAGTTTGTTAGTTAAAAGTTCAAACTATGATGATCTCTGTGTAAATATAAACAATGCTTTTCATAGTATAAATGAATGGTTCAAAGTAAACCAACTTTCTATAAATTTTGACAAAACCCACTACATTCAATTTACAGCTATAAATGATAATCCTAAATCTGAAATAAAAATTCTATATGATAAAAAACAAATTACATCTATATCCAATATTAAATTTCTTGGAATATTCATTGATGACATAATGAGTTGGAAATACCACATTGAGTATATTAGTTTTAAACTAAGTGCAGTCTGCTACATAATAAGATCGCTTGAACCATACACGTCCATAAATACCTTAAAAATGGTTTATCACGCTTATTTTAATTTTATTATAAATTATGGTTTACCCTTTTGTGGTAACTCACCCCAAAGTATAAAAATTTTTAGAATGCAAAAGAATATAATTAGAATTATTTTGGGACGCAGAAGGAGGGACTCGTGCAGGAACTTATTTAGAGAATTAGAAATCTTGCCTCTGGCATCTCAGTACATACTATCTCTTATGCTCTTTCTGATAAAAAACGGAAACAAATTCATAGTAAATTCAGAGATTCATAGAATAAATATCAGACAGCAAAATAGTCTCCATCAGCCTCTTGTAAATTTGAGTAAATACCAAATGGGAGTTTACTGTTTAGGAACAAAGGTCTATAACAATCTACCACAACATATTAAGGATATATCGAGTGACACTAAGGGTTTTGAGGTACAATTAAAACAATTTTAATATTTACATTCTTTTTATTCTTTACAGGAATATTTTAGTTATAAATTTTTTTAAGATGCGAGTAGTTGTCTTGCTTTACAATTTAAAAGAAGACAAGATTATCAGTCTGTGTTCTGGTTTTTAGATGCTTATTTTAGATATGCACAATTTTTATATTACTGTATACTTGTATTTATTTCAATTTATTATATAATTAATGTATGTTGTACAAAACTCATTAATGACATTGTGTTTTAACTATTGAATTTTTAATTAACAGACTTGTATAAACTATACAAATTGTGTAAGATTTGCCATTACTTTTACTACTAAGATTAACTTAATTATTATATTGTATATGTTTATCAGTATTTTATACAAATGTGTATGCTATTGGATGACAACTGTAATCCTTAGTTGTGACTAACTAGGACGATCTCCACATCCGCATGAGAATGTACTCTCGACAGGATTTATGGAAGGTGAATAAATGAAGTGAAAGGACATGCACAAGGAGATGAGAAATGTATACAATCTTTCATTCAGAAAATCTGAATGGAAGGAACTTGTTGCGAGACGTGGGGTAGGGGAGATGGGAGTTAATATTAAAGAGGATCTTAAAGAAGTGGGGTGTGAACTTGAGGACTGGATTCAACTGGCTGAGTACAGGATTCAATAATGGGTGGGTTTTTATGAACATTTGTGTCTCATAAAAGATCAGCATTTATTGGCTGGTTTTGCTACTTCCAACTTCTCAGTAAGCAGCTATATGAGGGCACAATGTAGATGAAAAGAAAGGATTTTTTACATAATTTCATTAATCTGAATACAATAGCCAGTTTTTTTTTAGATTAAAATTTGAAAAAGTAAAAAATCATGCAGAGAATGTGAAAAAGAGAGAAGGTGCACACCAGAAAATTCACAAGTGTCCACAGTTGCCTGTGCTTCATCTTCTGCTGATCAAGTCATATGGCTCTAATTCTGTTTTATTGTAGCTTTTGCTTCACAGACAAATAGTAATCTTGAATGAATTGAAAATCTTAGGAGAATATTCTATTCTTATTACGAAAGACAGCCATCATCAGAAGGTAAATGATCCCCACAAATGGGTGCAAAGTTTGTATTTATTCAACAGTGTGTATGTCCATTTCTTTAGACTTTGGATGGCTAAACAAATTTGAACATTCTGCATTTAAACATATGGTTCCTACTGGGTACAGAAAAAACACATACATTTGCATGAGTTTGAGTCCAAATGTAATTTTGTAATACCACTGCAAGCATAATGTCTATTGACATGCTGTTATTGGCTGCTTTTTTTAGGCGAATTCTCAAGCTTGCTGACTGCCTAGTAAGTTCACTCAGATGGTCTGCTCATATGCAGGGAACAACCCAAGAACTGCTAAATGAATTTTCGTGAATTTTATGTCTGAGAATGTTATGATTATCTGTCAAGTTGCTTCAATTTTAATTCAACCAGAATTAAGTTAAATTACCACTTTTCATGAATTGCTACATGCATTTTCCACAGGTCACTGAATATTTATCAGTCAGAAAAATATTTTGAATGAAACCTGTAGAAAAGAATGAAAAGTATTTTATTTCCAACGCACTTGCTCCATTAGTCTTAAAGTTGTTGAGACAAATTTTCAAGGGGATGCAATGGGTACATATTTAAATTTCCATGTTCAGAGATTGACCATGGCATCTGAAACATAAGTTCAATTAAAAAAGTCTTTATAGAGATTAAACTATATTAAAATCAGATTTGTTTTATTCCCTTAATGTACAGCTCCACTGCATTATTGCTTCAAAGCCTATATTAAAGGAGTGTATGAAATAATAGCAACATTGGAGCCTTAACATTGACTGTTTAGTCATTCCATGCATAGTTCTGACTTAGACTATATATATGAAAGTACAGTTACCAGCTCTATGAATCACTCTACAGAACTCCAGTGTAACAAGTAGACTGAGCTTCTATGATATGGCCTATTAAAAGCTGGCTTTCATTGTTTTGGTTAATGTACTTCAAAGTCTTGTGTCAACATTCTTGGTCTTTAAGGCGGCAATTTTCCAATATACATAGATTATTTTTACATATTTCCGTGTATTTACAGTTCTGGGAATGAACCAGTATGCTGACCCTCCACTGACATTGTCAGACATTCATATTTGAAACAAGTGAGCACTACCTAGCACTGAGGTTAGGAATATGTGGAGCTGTATGTCTTTGTCCTCCATACCTCTTCAAGGTGTAGTCCTTGAGTACCATCTTCAAACATTTCTATTTTATGAGCATATGTTGAACATTGCATCATCTCACTAGCTAAGGTTAGTGTGTGTAGTCCTCAAAATATTTAATACAGAGACTGACACAGCATTTCTTATACAAACAAAGAGTCACATCTTTTTCCATGCATCCCATCTCTTTGTTTTTATTTTCTTCTCAATTGGCTCCCATCAAAACTACTGGGTGTTGCCATTACTATTTCATAATGGTGATGGAGACAGGATTGTCTTCTACAAACAAATCTAAAATCATGTACTTACAAATGAGGTCATGAAAGCAACACACAAAGAATGAAGCATGTAGCATAGTAAACACCCCAGATGACTGGAGGATTGTAGTCATCCATATACAGAACCAGTGAAATTAAACTTTTCTCTCAGTACCTACCAAGCTGTATATATTATATTTAGTTACCAAAATCACTATGGAAATAAGTATTATGGCTGTAAAGTACGTAGTACAGAAAGTGGCTGTCTACAGTATTCTTTAGTGACACAAGTAAAAGTAAAAAATGTAAAGTTCTCCCTGTGCTTAATTAATTAACTATTATGTCATGAAGACATATGGAGGAAAGGAGATATAGCTCCATTATTCTTGACCACAACAGTAGATGGTTGTGAATGGTCATCTTCATGCCCGGTTTGCTTTACCTCTATGGAAGGAGCCCCTGGTACCCATTGGCTAGGAGGCTGAGTTAGCCCCAGAGCCAGTCTGGATGCCATGGGTACAGGGAAAATTCTCTTGCTTCTATCAGGAATCAAACCCCAGCTGCCCAGCTTACATCCCGTTGCTATAATAACTGTACTATCCAGGTTTTAGTGACATATTTTATGATATTTATTTCATGTGAATTTATAACTAAGACTAGTCATGCATAAATAAAAGGCTTATAAGTTCCTGCTATCACAAAATCAGCATTTTAAAAGATTTTGCTACAAAAAACCCCGAAGGAAGTCATGGCTGCACCAGGCACACCAGGTACACTGGACAGTGACATGTTACATGTAAGTTGAATGCTGATATGATTAAAGTGCGAGCATGGGACATATATACGTGGCAGGTAGTAAAGGGTTAAGGTGTAAGATTCGAGGTTTTCGTGATGCTGACTATTGTCTTATGGGATGTGACACCATGTAGTCCAATACAATTTGAAGTTCTCATAGCAGCGGTTATGAAGAGTTCTATCTTCTGGGATATTACATCATGCAGTCTGTTGAAAGTCAACCAGTGTCTCAGCGGAACATGTTGCCTTCATGCTGGTTGCTTGCTTGGCATATTCTTTGATCCTGAAGATGCAGGCGACTTGATGCTCCAAAACATCAGTTGCCTGTCCACTGAGTACATAGTGTTATATCTTAGAAGATAAAATTCATCATGTAGTTTGGCAGATTGTTGGTCACGTTTTGGACAAAACCAAGCAGCAAATTACACTTGACACCAGTAACGATCTACAAGCTTACATGTCATCACATCGCAGATGGCAGTAATCTTTGGCTAAGATGTAATTAATTTTGTTACCCACGTGACTTCCACTCTTATTTTACATTTCTGCAAGTACATATACTTGAAAGTCATATACATATCACATATTTAAGTGAAGTACAGACAACCTATCTGGCTGTTTGGAAGGAAATGTAAATTGTTGTAACCAGCCTCTGAATTTGCTTTCAGGTTGGATCCTTACGTTTTGCACCCTCAGAAAAAAGGCAACTAATAAAATCAGCAGTATTTCTGGGAGCTTCAAGTTTGCAACTGGCCAAATACCTATTAACAGATTATTGTTTTTACTGGGTATTAGCTCTAATTCAAGCCCATGGTGGTGTGAAGACTACAGTGGAAGGTTGGTTTGCATCTTATATTCATTAACCATCTGCAGTTTGCTCAAGATGCACAATACTTAAACACTATCCAAAGCAAAGTGTTGTAATATAACATTTCCACCAAATGGTTATTAATGAAATTCTTGCAATGAAAAGGTCTGTTACATATATACATTACATTTGATAGATCCACAGTTTAAATGACCATAGAATGTGGAATAAGTCATAAAAACACAATACATATATGTACAGTACAAGTGAAACTTCCACATAAAAAATAAAATGAAAACTATAAAATACAGAGGGGGTTCATATAAGGTATTCAGATGCTGCAAATAGATCCACCATATAAATCAGTACTTTCCACTTACACAATTTATACAAACCTTTGAGTAGATTCTGAATCATATTTAGATAACAGGAATATATCAGCAGAGTAGAATGAGTGTGTGTTTAAATATATTTTTAGCATTGCTTTAAGTTGTGTGTTTTCATTCATAAGACATTTATGAGCAGATGGTAAATTGTGGAAAATGTTGATGCCAACATGGCCGTAGTATGTACTGTTCTGGAAATATGAGAGGTTGGTGGCAGGTCTATGAAGAAGGTGCTCATTCGATGTATTGCCTCTGTGCACAACTGATTTAGTCTGAAAACCTTCTTGGTTATTTACGATGAAGTTCATTAATGAAAATGTATGGTCACATGGAAGAGGTAAGATCTCTAATCTCTTAAACATACCTATATATGAATTTACAGGTGTCACACTCACCGTGATTCTAACAATTTTATTTTCTAACATAAATATCTTTTTGTTCAATTAATTCCACCAGAAGATTATTCCACACTTCATTATGAGAGAAAACAGATAAAATAAATTGATTTGAGAGTGTCAGTGTTGCAGATATTAGCATGGGTCTAACTTTACAACATGCCCCACTTAACTTGGGAACCAATTGATATCTATACGATTTTTCCACTTTAAGTTGTTACCAATTTGTGTACCAATGGATTATGTTTACTGACTCTTCTATATATTTATCATTATATCCACTGTTATATCCAAAGAATTAACAGGTACTGTGGTGAACTATTTTTGGCATTTTATTATATTTGTTTTATATAGATTCATGGGAGGGGGGGATATGGTAGCGTAGTTTGTTGAGGCAAGCTGGAAGGTTGTGGGTTCAAGTCCCGAAGAGGTGGATTTTTTCAGTTTACCTAATCCTTCCAGCCACACTATTTGCACTGTTGCCCTGGGTTTGACTCAGCCTCTAACAGAAATGAGTACCAGGAATTTTCCTAGGGGGAAAAAGGTGGCCGGTGCGTAGGGCTGACCTTACCATCATCTGTGAGATGATTGTCTAGAACAGTGGTTCTGAACCTTTGTCAGACCATGGTCTGGTAAATTGATTTTTCTATAAGACAAGAGTCCAGTATAAATGATGTCAGGGCCTGGTACCGGGCCACAGCCCAGCGGTTGAGAAGCACTGGCCTAGAAGATGTGGAAGTCTCGAAGACCAACAACCCTATGGCCTGTTACATGAATAGCTTTACCTTTTTATAGATTCAGGACCAGCTTGTTGGCAGTAAACCATTTATTCATATGACAGGGAGTTCTGTTTGACAGTATATAGAAATCATCATTCTTACTAGAAATCATGGCAGTAGCATCATTCGTGAATACTATTGGTACTAATAAAATGTTTATTGTTGGAGGGTGGTCATTTATATAGATTATGAAAAACAATGGCCTTAGAATTGACCCTTGGGGAACTGCATGTTTTAGTGTTCCCCTTCTGTGTAGGAATTTTTGGTTGCATTATATGACTGTATTTTGACCTTGTTTTCTATTTGTAAAACAGGCTCCAAACCAATTTCTTGGTATTCCTTGAATGCTAAAGATTTAATTTACTTAAGAAGATTTCATGATTTGCACAGTCAAAAGCTTTTGCTGAATCACAGAATAATCCTCCAACATGCATTTTTTGGTTAAAAGATTTTAATACACTTTGTGTCGATTTAAAGGTGGTATTTTCATTGGATATTATTTTCTGAAGCCAGACTAGTCTGGGAATATATACATACATATATATGCATATACATATATATGTACAAGCCTGTACATAACATACCTCAGATCTGTTGGTTGGAAGGATTTTCATATAAACGAATTTTCTGGGAAATATATATGTTAGAATTGAAACAGCATAATCTCTTCCAGCTTCATGTAACTTTCAATTTTTATTATTTGTTAGCAAAAAAGTAATAGTGTGAAACATTATTCAATATTTATTAACAATAACAAGTATTAAAGAGCGTTTGTACATTTGTAAACATCCTGATTTAAAGGTAACTTGTTATTTTGTTTAGTAAAGGCAAACATGACAGGATAGAACAGAAACAAACTGTACCAAAATTTTCCTTAACAACCTTTCTTTGGAGCTGTATTGCAAGAATTCTCACATATTTAGCAGTGATACAAGGTTACAAGTCCATTCAAAATCAATGACAGGTATAAAATTATGACCATATTGTACTTTAAGTAAATGATCCTAAAATGCTTAATCAAATTAAAACTTTCCAGACCAATAAACAGCATGCTGATGTACAGACATGGGATTTTATTTATGAAAACTTGTAACTCCATGGAACATGGCCCTTCTAGAGAAGCTACTTGTCACTGAAATAGTCAATATATTCCATACCTTTCATGAAATCTGATGTTTCATTACTTTCTTCACAAAAGTCCACATATGTGAAATTCTTTAAAAATGTTTAATTGTGGGCTACTTGCTATCAGTGAGAAACCGTGTTTAATAATTTTTAAAATTAGTCACTGAAAATCAGTTTGTACAAACAAGAACTGCAATGTCAGTTACTTTCAGTGATATTTCTTGATTTATATTTTTTGACTGTGGCAAACAGGGAACACACAACATGAGATGCGATATACACTGAGAGTAAGAGGAACAACTTCCATAGTGGTGGAACTATGCGCGGTGTTAGAATTGGGACAGATAAGATAAATAATCTTAACAAGTTTTTAGTATATAAATATTTATTATAATTGACGAACATTTTTAAATACTTTTTAAATTTTACAATGACATAATGGCAAGCAATGAAATAGATTAATGTAAATGGAGCACCTGATGATGGCACTATAGTGCCGAAACATGTTGTGAAATAACAAGTGAAATTGAGTGCACTAAAAGGCGGACACTGCATACATATCATGGACGAAAATCAGTACAACAGGACGCTAAAATACAACATTATAAACAGAGAAATCCCAGTGTTAGTATTCTAAAAGGTGAAGGTGTCTTATAAGTACTTGGTTCAGTAGGGGGGGGTTGCCTGTACTAGCTAACAGTCAAGTAATTAAATAATCATATTTTAGTATTTTAAGCATAGAAGAGGCATATAATTTTATTATATCAACTGCATCAGACTCAGAAAAGGGTTAATGTGATATAAATCCTGTCCCCCTGAGTGTTAACTTGCATTGTACATAGTTCTTTTATATACTTCATGACAGCATTAATAATTATCATAAGCCTAGCATAGTTGGTTGAGGGACTATGCTACAAGCCAGAAGGTTGCGGGTTCAAGTCCTGATGAGGTCATTGCATTTTTTTCAATTGACCTAATCCTACCAGCTGCACTAGGCCCTGGGGTTTATTCAGCCTCTAACAGAAATGAGTACCAGGAATTAATTTAATAATTTTCCTGGGGAGTAAAGTGCGGCTGGCGTGTAAGGCTGACAACCTTACCGCCATCTTTGAGCCGATTGTCTAGATAATGTGGGACCCTCAACATCTCACAACCCTATGGGCCTTCACGGCCTGTTACAGGGATAGCTTTACTTTTTTTTTACTCACATTAGAAATGTGATGTGAAGTATGTCAGTTATGTGATCATCTGATTTTCTGTTTTAGCTCCATACATGGTTGGAATACACGTGCAAGGTTCCGGGATGGTGGCCGATCTTTATCATAGCATTGCAAATGCATTGAAACCACTGGGTGCCAAGATGGACATAGACAATGTACCCTGTCTCCCAAACCCAGTTCCACCAGATTTTGGACGTTACATACAGATAGGTACTGTAACCACGTCTGTATAGTAAACTGCCAAGAGAATAAAATAAATTTCTTATGGTGTAATAGATCTAAAATAATGCAGTAAGATACTATTACATGTTAGTGACTAGACACTGTTTGAATTTCTAATTGGATTCATTTGACTCTTGTAACTCATAACTACATATAGTTATAACACTCTCACTAATTTATGCACTTAACAAATCACTGTATCACATGCTGTCTCACTCTGTTATATAGTCTTCCTAATTGTTGCTGGGTAACAGTCTTCACAAGACATCACTAGGTTATGGTTCCCAACAATGGAGATTCTTCTGCTCTCGTGCTTATTGCCACTGTTGTCTACTCACTGTGTTTCACTGGGCCTCAATGGCTGACAGCTACTACTGACAGCAACGGCAACAGACTAAGTTGCCCTGACAGCTCTCACTATGTAGTTTCAGTACAGACTGCACAGAAAACACTGCTCCCAACGGTTCCTCTAATGTTGCTGTGGGATGTTGCCTAGTGATGTCTCGCATGTTTACCAAGCCATTCCCATGCAGCAGACAATGTCTAAGTAGTCATGTCACAATACATTTTACATATATAGTCATTCCTAGTGTACAGTGCTCTCTGCTGAGTGTGTCTGAAGGCTCCCAGAGCCATCTGGCAGTAAAGTATGGTAATGTGTCTTGTGATACTCAGAACCAAGAATCACTGTGCAGGCAAGGGTCAGCAACAATGTAGTGGTTGGTCAGTCAGTGCCCTATGGGATCATCTGACACAAAGTAAAGGAGACCATTTACCTCCAGCTAAGCGGCCTCCGTAGTCTAGGGGTAACGTTCTCACCTCATGACTCAAGATATGCGGGTTCAAACCCGGTGGAAGTATTGGAATTTTTAAGGGCGGAAGAATTCAGGGAACAAGTCCTCCGGGAGGGACTTTAAGCCATGGGTTCCATGTCGTAGATTTACGGCATGTAAAAGAGCCTCATGTCTCTAGGAGACCTCTGAGCAAAATTAGGTAAAAAGTTTCCCGCCCAAGTAGTTTCCAATTCCTCTGGTAGATAGGGAAGTATCAGGGACCACTGCCAGAGAGGGACTGACTTCGCTGACAGAACGGGGCTGATAGCGAGCACCAGTACTGGAAGGGCATGGCGACTAGTTAGAATTATTATAGGGGGACGCACAATAGACCAACAAATGGTCGCAGTGCATGGGGAAACCCATCCCCTCCAAAATAATAATAATAATAATACCTCCAGCTAATGCAGGTGTTTGGTATGCATGGCAATATACCTCCCTTGCACCATTACTTTGCCTATTGGAGCACATGTCTTCATAACTGTGTAAGAAACAAAGAAGCATGTAGACCCCATATAAACATAATGCAATGCATGTGTATGAAGGCATGTAAGTCTGCATGAAGTCTTACAACTCCAAAATATTCAGCTTCATGCTCTGACTGTCTTTACACCACCTGATGATTGTGTACTGTTAATTGTGAATTGGAATATTGTTCTGCAGTGTCGCTGATCCTTCTCTGTTGGGTTTTGACAATTCTGGAGCCATATGGACTGAGGCTGAAGCATGTGGTGATGTCCTATTACTATCCAGAGAGAGCCAGACAGAGAGCTGTATGGCTGTACAACAATATCCTAAGATCTCGTGGAGGCTTCCTCAAATTTATTAGAAGACAACTCAGAAGAAAATTTGGGAAAAGCAAAGATGGCGTTATTGAGAAAGTAAGCCTCATGGATCGCCTTCGAGCTAAGTGAGTACAATTTTTTGGATTCCGAAGGACCACAGTTTCTCATTTGGAATCTTATTAGGGAGCTGTGCATTCATCTGTCCCAATTCAAGTAACAACGCCAATATTACAGACACTGATATGTCATATATCTTATTTTCTCATATATAGACCATGTCCAAAGAAAATAATCTAATAATGAAAAACTGCATTGTAACAAGGAAGTTCATAAGACATACATGCTATCTTAATCCAGTAGGATGCTTTGAAAGATGCAGTCTAGAAAATGAAGTACATATCACAATGTCCTATGAAAGTACTCTTGAGGCAATATTCAACCACTGTCAGGAAGCTTTATAAGCACACTGAGCTGTGTTGTAATGTTGAGGTTCCTGTGTATTTATATAAATCTTGGGCTCATACAAAAGAAGGCTAGTGAGTATGCAGTGACTGGGGCATGAAAGATTTTTAGGGAGTACCTGAAGTGAGGAAAGTGGGAATTCTGGGGGGGGGGGAATCTAATGGACTTAAGACTGCATGAACAGGAATGCCAACAAATTTGCCCCATTCTGCTCATCCACTTATTCAGAAACTGGGCATTTTCTAATTATCATGCAATGTTACTGAAAGTGAGAGTTCATTATCTTACTGGAAGATTATGTTAACAATCCCCTCAAGCTGCACAAAGCATAATTTTCTGGCATATGTGAATATACTTTAGCATACACTGTCTTTCTGTGATAAAAAAAGTAACCTCTCACTTCTGTGATCATGAGTCCATACTGCACATGCATTTTAGGATCTCCTTCATAATCTATGAAATTTTTTTTTGGACTAGAATCCTGCATTTGTAGTTATGCCTACTTACTGCCCCTGACATGTGAAGCATTACTTCATCAGAAAATATGACTTTGCTCGGATATCAACTTTTTCTTTTTATCTCCAGGCACATCAAAGAGCAAGTCCAAAGCAAAATTGTCAGTCAGCTTCAGTAATGTCTTATGCAATCTGCAGCTTACACCAGGTGGCACAAAAATATTATTTTAAAGAAATGTAAATATGAACAGCTACATGGATTTGAATGAAACTCACAGAAGTTCATATGTAGGTTATACATAAGAATGCATATAAAAAGACTTATTCAGTTTGGTCGATTCATCATCTTCATGGATGAGGCCATGTTTGGTCCCCCCATTTTAACTGTGGGGGCCCCATGTTATCTTTTTGCGTTGTATGTTAAAATTTTCTTTAGAATTCATCTATATTCCATTTGTAGAATGTGATGTTCAGTTCTTCCCAAATTTGATATTTCTTATTTGGTCCTTCCTGGTGTAGCCTGCTATACTCCTCAAGAATTTAATTTCTGCAGTTTAAATATTTCTTCCCCCCCCCTTAGCAGTCAAAATTTTGGATCCTTACACAAGTATAGGTACCACCAAAGTTTTATAAAATTATATCTGTATACCTTTGCCTTATTCAGTGTTCTAAATATGCTGCACTTTTGGTTAGATGTATTTATTTTTATTTCTAAACCTCTGTTTATAATTTTAAGTTCTCAGAACTGCAGTTATGGAGAATTCTGTCTTCTTGGATATAATGACATGTAGTGGTTTGAAAGTCAACCAACGGTTTAGAGGAACATGGCACATTCATCTTCAGGGCCAAAAAATAAGCACAGCAAGAAACCAGTGCAAAAAGCAGGTGACAAGCTCTGCTTATTCTTAGGTTCTGAAGATGGAGACTACATGATCCTTCGAAACATCAGAACTCTTACATCTCTGTTGTTTATTGCTGCAACTATACATATCAAGCAATTAAAACTATCTACTTGTTCAATTATATGATTACATAACACTATTTTAATTCTCACATTCGTCTTTCCTTTTGTGGGAACATCCCACATTATCACGCATTTCTGCAACGCTCGCTCTTCACATCACTTTTCACCATCACGCGCGCTAACCAATCAGATTGCTTCAAACGATCGCATTTATACTACGCTCGGCGCTAGCCCGCGTCTACACCATTACGCGCGCTAGCCAATCAATTCTTCCTCCTCACTTTCGAGTTTGGCTCCGCCCCACCGACCAGTGTATAAAAGAGCAGAGTTATTCAGTTCAAGTCAGTACATCACCAGTCTACAAGCTAGCCACATCAAGCAACTTCAGCCAGCAGGCTTCGTCGCCAGCGCTCGGTCTTCGGAGACATCGGCAGGCTGCGCCAGGCACGACTGCCTCGGCCCTCCAGCGCTCTCACACCCGACTCACTGGGGCACCGCGCCTGGACTCGCCGGTGGTCGTGTTACGGTCCGACCCACTGGGCCTCTGGCGTAGCCACTGCCTCATGGCTACTACGACCGCGCTCGACGACTAGCCTTCACCAGCAACCGCCGCACTGCGATCGAGCAACCTCCATCACTTGCTGCACGGCAACCAAGCAACCAGCTGCCACGGTCGCACTGCGGCCACTCCACTCACCGCAACTAGCCTTTCTCCTTACCGGCGCGCGCCGCGCTACCCCACCGGTCAATCATCTCAGCAGCCACGGTCCTTTTCAGGGCCAACAAACTGTTCCGAAGAAGTGGGTTGTCATCGGAGTAATGACAAGACTACACACACACTCGTTGACATAGAGTGCCCCACACTTTCATGGCCATTGCCTTTGTCTTATTTACTGAAATCCTAAAATTATGTTTTATAGCTATATTATGTAGCACCTATACTACCCTTTTCATTTAATCTTCTATGTTTGCCAGAATTATCTACTTGTTCATGAATAAGATTCACTACACAGAAATATCTTTTTCCTCCTGAATGTTAAAAACAGGCAATTTTAAATTCAATCATTTTTTGCCACATTCAATAATGAATGGGACAGAATCCACAACTTTTTTAAAACAGCATTAGCTCATTTTTTTTCAATTGGGCAGTAGCTATTAGATATTATTCTGTGATTCTTGAGACCACACATCTATTTCATTGCAGTAACTGTAAGGATGAGAATAGTTCCCTCTGGCTTTTGCATACTAACAGTTTAAATTAATTCCACATATGGCAGTCTGCTTTAAGACAAAAAAAGGAAGTCTTAAATCTGAGACGGTAAAATATGGTCAAGAGTCCCAAGGGACTCAGACCTGAGAAAGAATGCGCTGGCAAGGGCCGCAGCATGTACAAAAGACAAATCAGAGAGGATGCCGCACAGAAACAAGACTATAACTGTCAAACGGTAATAATTAATATCTGGTCATGAGACTCAGATGGGGCTTGACACCAAGACTTACTGACTGACTGTCAGTTGCAATGTGACTTTGATTTGAGTCTGGTTTAAACCTGGAGAATTTGGTAACAATTGTGTGAACTTTTCAAATTCAACTCTAACATCATCCAACACTTTTAAAGAGCTGGTAATATGACTGTAAAATTGCCTACTTCCAACATTTAAAATGAAAAGTATTTTTTTGTTAAATAAAACCTTTACAGACTTTTTTTTTTTAATTTATATAGTGGGGGGTGGAGTCCAGCTGGGTCCACTTGGCACGTTGGCCACTGATTGGCCTATTGTACCTGCCCTGGGTGATTATGATGGAGAATTTGGTGGAATGAAGATCAGCAGGGGAAACCGAAGTACTTGGAGAAAACCTGCCCCAGCACCACTTTTACAGACATACTTACATATGTCAAAAGAGTTTCATTCATGTTGACAGAGTCACTTGGTAATAATACCTACACAAGAAGTTCTGGGAAAAACTAATCTCATAGTTTCCTTTGATATGACCTGGACCGCATATAAAACAAAGCATTCAACAATGCTTCTATTATTGCATGTGTAGTTGTTGCCATGGCAACGTTTTTACTAAGCTGTTGCCTAACACCAAATAGGGGATACACATATGGACACATAGACTGACGAGAGGGGATTTAAGAAGTATGCCGCTCAGATGGGCCATAATATAAATACCAAGATTCATGAAATTTTTTTCTCCCCCCCCCCACCTCTCATGGCCTGTAGTCCGCAAGCGAACTATACCGACCGAGCGACCGTCTCTTGTCAGCGAAGTTAGTGCTGACTTTTGCAGATAGAGTGTGTCGCATGAAATTTTGTTCAGCCATTCAAACGTTGACAGAGGGTACACACAGCACAGACAGCATGGTGATCGCATAAGCCTCCTTTAATTTCTTAAAAATAAGGAAAATAGGCTAAAATAATACAATGTTATTTTATATTAAGTTACTGTTTCTTTTATTGCTCTACCTTATCATAATTAAAATATATTTAAATTCAGGATACCATCATTCCTTTATGGACACTCTGTATATATGTACTTAATTGACTGAAATAATACAGCAGAAGAAAATTACTGAACTGTGATGCATCCATTGTCCAGTGTTTAGCACTAGCCTTAATACCAATATTTCAGGTTTCCCTGGCTCGACATCATACTTTGGGACAGCAAACAGAAGATGTGTATCTTGTGTGGCAAAGTTGTCAGGAAGGGAGACAAGGAACAGTTGATAATATGCCCAACCCCAAACTGTTGTGGCCAATACTGTACAGAATGCTACGCTGATCTCAAGAACTTGTGCACCATCTGTAAGAAACCCACAGAGTATGGGGACTTGTCTGATGAGAGTATAGAAAGGTAAGAGAATTAAAGCAAATTAAGTCTGGTGCACGGTACTAAAACATATTTCTGCATGTTAGAGTGACTGTAGATGGGGTTTGGATTGCTGACCCAATTTATTGACCACTTATACACACAACGCGTGACTGCACTTTACAGCTCACTGTCTCACACACAGACTAGTGTCCTCAGTCTATATTATCAAATAAAGGGTCAAAATATATTCTCAAATGAAGGATCCTGTGTCAACAAATTTCTTTCACAACTGTGAACTCACAAGATATGAAATGGCAGAATAATCATTTCACAGTTAACAGATGGTCTGGTACTTCTTTTGGCTTATTTTGGACTTCACCCATCGTCCGGTATATAAAAGACAAAAAACCACGACGTTTCGGAGACTGGATCTGTCTCTGTCTTCAGATGGATAGGGAAGGTTTAACCTACTCAGTTGGGCCCCTTAGAAAGAGCTAGTCTCAATCACTGGACAAACTTTGATCTGTAGAAACAACCTATGAACAACCGACAACCGGTTCCATCAGTGGGAGGAAAGAATAAAATCGCAGTAAAAACACGATAGAAAATTTATGCCAAACATGCACTTGTCAACAATGTAAAGAAACAGAAGTATGGGTTATATTCCATGAATTCAGTTAAAAACGAAAGTAAAAACTGGATAAAGCATGCCTGATCTGCATGGATAAAGAATCGT